GAAAACCAGGCTAATGATAAAATCCTGCAAGACAAATCCTTTAAATTTCAAGTTTCTATCACACTCTGTTTGCTTTGTCCATATGCAAATACAGTAGCTGTTTTCCTCTGGAGTACTGGGACTTCAGAATAATGAAATTTGAAAGCATATTGAGACGTTAATAGGGTGTGCAATTGGGTGGCATGCTTTATCTGACATCTGGTAGGCAAAGTTTGAATTCGCAATGAGGGTAATAACGGAACTTTACTTTGGGAGAAATTGAGAGTTTTTTCTTTTTTTTTTTCTTTTTTTTTTTTTTTTTTGACAGGCAGAGTGGACAGTGAGAGAGAGAGAGAAAGGTCTTCCTTTTTGCCATTGGTTCACCCTCCAATGGCCGCCGTGGCCGGTGCGCTGTGGCCGGCGCACCGCGCTGATCCAATGGCAGGAGCCAGATGCTTATCCTGGTCTACCATGGGGTACAGGGCCCAAGGACTTGGGCCATCCTCCACTGCACTCCCAGGCCACAGGAGAGAGCTGGCCTGGAAGAGGGGCAACTGGGACAGAATCCAGTGCCCCGACTGGGACTAGAACCCGGTGTGCCAGCGCTACAAGGTGGAGGATTAGCCTAGTGAGCCGTGGTGCCAGCCGAGAATTATTTCTTGAAATGATGTGATGTTTAGGAATAAAAGAAAGCAAAAATGAGTGATGGGTCAGAGATTTATTGACAATTTGCTATGTGGAACACAGTGCTGGGAAATAAGCATAGAAGAGTTAGATATGACCCCTACCCCATAGTAAGCAACCACACGGAGGTGACAGTGAGGAACTGTGCACTATAATAATCAAATCTCAACTTCCTTAAATTAAACAATAGGTCAACAAAGGTAGGGACAGAAAAGGCAACTGGTAAAATGGGCAGGATGAGATCACAGAGAAAATTCTGGAATTCCCAAGTGGCTTTGCAGCAAGAGTCTGTAAGCAGTTGAATGATGCAGTCGAAGGAGGGTTTATAGTAGCAAAGCTGTAATGCAAGAAAAAGGAAAGCCTTATATCCTGGAGTTTTTAACCACTAACTGCCCTACTTCTTCTCAATGAACATAATTCCTTTAAACTAACACACATTGCCTTCACTGCTACAGCCCTAAGGCATGACATCATCTTTCACCTGAATGACTGCCATTGCCTCCCTACTGCTTCTTCTCTACTCCCTGAAAGCACAAAGCAGCATGAGTGATTCTGAAAAATAAGTCAGTCTGGTCATCTGTCTGCTCAGTCATTCAGCAGAGCTTCTCAGTTTAGCCAGTGTGAAAGCCAAAGCCCCTGAATGGTCTCACACCTCTGTAACCTCTCTAAGCTCATCCCCATAGTTGGGCTCCAGGTTACTCTACTCCAAACATACTGACTGACATGATGTTCCTAAGACATTCAAAGGCTTTCCTAATTAAGGGTCTTGTGCTTGATGTTCATTCTGCCCTCAGATTTGTCCCGCACTCCCATGGGACTTGCTCTCACATCTCCTTCATGTCTCTTCATGGCTGTCACTCTGTCAGTAGATTAAGTTGTGGTGGCAGGAACTAGGCTTAGAAAACTAGAAAGGAAACTGATTTTGGAGGAAAGGTGAGGAGTCTGATTTATTACACAGTGAATCTGAAATGCAAGTATGGCTTGGTTGAGGTTTTCTGGTAGAATCCTACACCAGAGAGTTGAAGGACGATGTTGGAAGACACAGAAAAAGAATACGGTGAACAGGAAACAGAGACAGTAGACTGTGGCAGATTAAGCATGTCCACACATCCTGGTAAGTAACTCCTATCAAAAGGTAGACTTTATTTCATTATGCTTTGATGCTGTCTGGCCTTTAGATCTGCTGTGACCCACAAAATGCGGTAGACGTGACCTTATGAGAGTTCTAGAATTATGGCATTTTGGCGTATTTCCCTTTTGAATCATTGCCCTGAGATCACTTTCAAAAGAAGACAGTTGGGGTGTTGTGGTACAGAAAGTTAAGTCACTGCCTGTGATGCCAGCATCCCATATCAGACTGCCACTCAGAGTCCCAGCTACTCTGCTTCCAATCCAGCTCCCTGTTGATGTGCCTGGGAAAGCAACATAAGACGACCTACGTGCCTGGGTCCCTGCCACCCATGTGGGAGAGCTGGATGGAGTTCCTGGCTCCTAGTTTCAACCTGGCCACACCAGGTTATGGCCATCTGGGAAGTGAATCAATGGATGGAAGATCTCTGTCTCTGTCTCTCTGTCACTCTTTCAAACAAATCAAATATGTCTTTAAAAAATCCAGTCTAGTTGACTGAACCATGGAGGGACACATGGAAGTAAAATGAGGCACTTATATTGATATTTGTGGGGTCAACATAGATATTCCTGCCACGCCAGCCTTCTAGTGGAATGTAGCAGCATCAGTGAGGCCAAACAGAACCAACATAGGGGCTGTGCAGTCAACTGGCAAAATTATACAAAATAAAAGAAAAGCAAACTCACCCCTTCCTCAAAACAAAACAAAAGCACTGCTAAGTTTGATGGGGGTTGTTTGGCAGCATACATAGCTGGTACAGAAGTTAGCATCTACAAAGGAGATGCCACTGTAACAGAAACCTAAAACAATTATCACTAGGCTTGAGACTTGGGTATGGAAAGATTTAGAGAAATTGATAAAATTAAAAATGAGGTTGGCGGAAGCCTCAGTATTCTCTAATTTCTATGAGCAGGAGACAAACTGAGAGAGCTCCTCAATTACAGGTATGGGTGATTTCTTACCAAACAGAAAAGACGACTAACTCAGGGGAATATCCAAGAGCCCAGCTGAAGAGCAAAGTGGAAAGGGAATCACTGGGCTAAGGAACCATTCCAAGAGAACACAGAGAGCCCCACCCAGGACTTTCCTCACCCCAGGCAGAAAGGGAACAGGCAGATTTCAGAATTGAAACAAACCAAAAATCGCTGAATGCGTCCTATTTTTCTTTTTGCATGGGGAGCTCTAGCATGATTTTCAAGTCCTTGTCACATCAGCAGATGGTGCAGCTTTGGGGGGAATTTGTGGAAGGCACCTTGTACTTTTAGGTCACAGGTTTCTGATTCAAGAATAGCCATATGCAAATGACTGTACCTGGGGAGCTGTATCCCTGTTTGAAATGGATGCAGATCATGAGACTGTGGATTTTAAGCTTGATGCTGTAATGGCATGAGCCTTTTGGTGGTCTTGGTGGGGAAGGGGTAAAGTTTGTTTGTGGAAAAAGTCAAAATAATTGTGACCAGAGGGAAGGCTGCAGACAATTAAATTATTTGCCATTTTTTTTTGGACTGTGTCTCATCAAGGGTGGAATCTCTCTTTACCCAGTGAATCTGCATTGTAATCGTGACTTCTTTTCACTCACAGAATATAGCAGAAATGAGTCAAAGAGGATTTTCAGCTTCTGTTTGATCATCTTGAAGTAATGTCTTAAAACCCACCAGGAAAAGAAACTAATCGAGCTTGTTGGAGATGGCTGCACATATGAAACACCAGTGTACTGCCACTGTCAGCACCAACTGCCAGCTACACACAGGAGGCCACTTCCAGCCATGGCCCAACCCCCATGAGTGAGCTCATGGGAAATATGAACAAGAACTGCTCCACGTCACAAGAAGTCCTGTTATTGTTTTCACCCCTTGAATTTTGAAATGTTTTGTCGGCCAGAAATTGTTAGGTGATAGCTGGCCTCGAGATAGGAGAATCAGAAAGGTACACTGAATGGAGTCACAGTAGAACAAAGACTGACAGAGGTTGGTATAAACAAAGAAGCCAATTAAAAGTTGGATAATGTCAGCAACGAGATGCACCTGTTGGGATTAATTACACTCCTGCCTAGTTGCAGTGAAAGCTGTGCTTTCTGTCCACACTGGTCTTTATGACACAGACGTGAGACAGCTGGCTGCCCTGCATCGTGCTGTCGCCTTTTGGCTGACGACAAAGTGAAAGGCTTTCTTCCTCCTTGTATTTGCCATTTGAAGTGGTAGTCAGCACTTAATGGGGAATTACTCATTAAATGGTAAGTAAACAACTGTGTAGTTCACTTTTATCTGAAGTCTCTGCTCAATCTACTCTACTCTAAAACATGAAAAGCAGGAGCTGGTACCTTGTGTACTGGGTGCGGCAGCTGCCTGTAAGGCTGCTCCGCTTCCATACAGCTCCCTGCTAGTGTGTCTGGGGAGCCAGCTGGAGATGGCCTGGGTGCTTGGGCCCCTGTGCCCACTTGGGAGGCCCAGATGAGGCACATGGCTCCTGGCTTCAGCCTGGCCCAGTCCTGGCCATTGTGGCCATCTGAGGAGTGCACCAGCAGATGGAGGATCTCTCTTACTCTCTGTTTCTCTCATCCTCTCTCTAACTCTTTCAAATAAATAAATCTTTTAAGAAAGTGAAAAAGAAAATTCTCTATAAAATTCCGTTCTTTGCTATGACATTGCTACTCAGAAGAACATTGGCTCAATTCTGATGTTTGCATAAAAATTATTAAGAATATTTCCAAATATATTATAATGCATACAAAGAGACAAGAAGAGGCAGAGGACAGATCAGGATATCTGATGCCAGATTTTTAAGTGCACAATATAATTGTGATTACCACAAACCAACATTGAAGAATAACATACTGTCTTAAATTTTCTAAAGGGCTATAATGACTTTAATCTTTACACTAAATTGAATAGAGAATCTCAACCCAATTATAGGAAAGAAACTCCTACCAACAGTGTTACATGATACTAATTGAAGTAAGAGACCCTAGATTTAAGCGTAATATTCAACCTAATTATATTTCAAACACATTAAATGGCATAGCTTTCTTCAGGAAGGGAACTTCTGGTTGATTTATTGCCCAAATTATGGAAAAAATATTCAGTTACAGGATGGAGTCTTATATTTAACAGATCAGTGTCTCCACGTAATGGCTGTGTAATTTGTGCTAAGAAGTAGATTCCAGCTCCAGAGAATGATCAAGCACTTGAAACTGTGTCCTCGTCTTCTAGCTCTACAGACATTTGAATTGATTTGAACTCCAGAGTCCTCACGGCAGTTGTAGAAGCAAATCTTCTTTACGTAAGGTGCCATTCTGTAGTTAATCAAATTTTAACTTAATTTTTGTCTACCATTGCTCTGGTATATTACTATGATGCTCCTGCCCAACACTGATAACCAATTATGACAAAACATGGTGCAAAGGTAGAAAGGAGCAAAAATAGCAATGTGTTCTTCAATCTTAAGGTCATGCACAGACATTTGACGTTTTAATGTTAAACAGTCTCAGGATCTGCTGTTTGTTCTTTCAGGATTTTCACCTTCTGAAGTTCCTTTCTCCATTAAAATTCACGGAGAACTAATTAAATTTGGGGGCACCCCGCTGCTTCCAAGTGGAAATGGACCTGCCCTCTCTTTATTTTCCCAAATATTTTCATTCAGCTAGTATTTCTCCTAATCTTTTTGGTTTTGAGTTTTTGCTTCTTTTATTTCCAAATCTATCCGCCAATGATCATCTCACTCATTGTTAAAGCCAGGATACTATGGAGAGCAAAACAAAATGCTCTTCATTATGACATCAAGAAAACGGTACTAAACTGAGCAAACCTATGACATGGAGTTGCCTGTTTCATACTAAGTCGTTTCTAGTTAGCGGAGACCCTCCTCAAAATTTTCTCTTTCTTTCTTCAAATTCTTACTCTCACTTCTCCTCCCAGACACTTCTCACATCTTCCTTTACCATTCCCAGATTCCTTACTTCTTCCTATACTGTCAGAAGTAATCTAAGACTGCCATTTTATTCTGCAGAACAATTCATCTCTTTTTGTAACCAAGCAGCAAAAACACAGGGTATTATGCATTTGTCAATCAAGATGTCCAATCAAAACTTTTCCTAAACTGAAGAATGACATATCCTCCTGGGTAGTTCCCTGACAAGAGAGGTGGAAGGCACTAGAATCGATTTTAGATTCCTTTGGTCTATGTACATTTACTACTCCCTCCCTCAATGACTGCGTCTCCGCCTATAATGGGTAGTGTTTCTGGCCAGCTTGTGTTCTGTGGGATCCGTTTTGTAGGATCTTTGTACCCACCTCAGACTCTGCTGCAAAAGGCCCAAACATGACTTTCATCAGATTGTCTTTAGGCACTTGGGTTGTCTGGCACACATGGAGAGCCGAAAGTTTCTGGAACTCACCTTCCTCCTAGCCAGCAATTGAGTCAGTGTTTGGTACGAGCATATAAAAGCTCCAATCAGTTTCTTCTAAAACTGTCATCTCTGAGGTTTTACTTACACTCTTGAGTGTTTCACTAATAGACTGAAGTCTGCAATCTTGGTTTTCCTCTTTGAACACAACAGGCCTGAGATTTTTAATAGTGTCACTAACAAGGCTGGCCTCTGCTTGATCTATGTACTTGAATATTTGGAGGGCTCCACCACTCTCTTAATGATGAGTGGTTCCGTATGGTTAAGGTATTGGTATAGACAATGTGGCTGAGGCAGGACATCTTTCCTCTAGGGGGCTGGATTTTGGTCTACGTTAGGCAGACATGGTGACTACATGGATTAGTGTAAATCTTAGACGCCTAACTCAAGTTGAGTGTTCCTGGAAGTCAGACCTCGACATGTGTGCTGCAGTTCATTAGTGGGGAATTGAGCATATCCTGTGTGACTCCAGTGGGAGAGGACTCTTGGAAGCACATACGTGGCTTCTTGGGCCTTTGCCCCCGTGCATTTTTCCATTTGCTGATTTTCCTGCATCCTTTCATTGTTATGCATCATTGCTGTGGGTACCACTGCATGCTGGCTCCTCTGAGTCCTCCTGGGGAATCCCTTAACCAGGGCGTGGTTCAGGGGACCAAAACACTTTCCCTCATCTTCATGTTGCTTCCCTAGCCCCCCTCTCTCACTGGCTTCTTCTGAGAGCAGATCCTTAATGCATCCTAAAGCTTGTCCTGGCCCCCGTTTCTAGAAGACCTAGGAGGATTCTAAGTCGCCAGGATATTAGCCTCGACTGTGAGCTCTATGACTTCTCCTTTGATTCTTGCAATGCATTGTTCCTCATTCTCTACTCCTTTTCCTACATACCTCTGTCTTCCTCCAAACTATTACTCTTTGATAGATATGTATTTGGATAAAGTGACTCAGTATTCATACAGTTTAGATAGTACAAAATGTACTATCAAGCTTAAAATAAAATAGAATATTATCTGCCTTAGTCTTTCCCCATACTGAGTCCTGTTCTCCAAAGGTAAATATTTTCAATATTTTAAAAGTGCAATTTTTTTTTTGACAGGCAGAGTGGACAGTGAGAGAGAGAGACAGAGAGAAAGGTCTTCCTTTTGCTGCTGGTTCACCCCACAATGGCCGCCGCAGCCGGCGCACCGCACTGATCCGAAGGCAGGAGCCAGGTACTTATCCTGGCCTCACATGGGGTGCAGGGCCCAAGCACTTGGGCCATCCTCCACTGCACTCCCTGGCCACAGCAGAGAGCTGGCCTGGAAGAGGGGCAACCGGGACAGAATCCGGCGCCCCGACCGGGACTAGAACCCGGTGTGCCGGCGCTGCAAGGCAGAGGATTATGAGCCGTGGCGCCGGTAAAGTGCATTTGTTTTAAGATATTGAAAAAATACAATATGTTCTTATATTACTCTTAACTCTTACTACTTGAGAACCAGAAATCGTGACTACTACTTGGGAAATAAATAGTATTCAAATCTTCCCTTCCCTGAATTCACATGAGGATTTCAGAAGCAAGAAAGTAGGGGTAAAAATTCCAGAAAGATTCAGCAGTCACAGTGTAGGCCCGCGGCTTGGATATTAAAGCCATCTTCCCCAAGCGGTTTCATAGTCAGTTCATCTGGTACTTCTGATGATATGCACAAATAGTTCCCCAATGAGACTTTAAAGCACTGAGGCTTTAAAGGCTTGCCTTGCTGCTGATCTCCGTGTTTCTTAATCACAGGGCTTTTCCAGCATTGCTAGAATCCAGCCAGTTTGCTGTGGTGCAAACTGCCAGTCCTCGGGTGACGGAGTACTTTCCATTCAAGAGCAGCACAACGCACAGTGCCGTTCCCAGCTGGGTGACCCCCTCATTCCTATTATTGTAGCATGGATAGCTACGTAATGTTGAGTTGTTGTCATGATTTACTCCTATGAAAATACCATTTTTTGCTTTCACAACAAACCAGGTCAAATATGAAAGTGAGTTATGTGTGTCAGTGTTATTGGTTACATGTTATCTTTTACTAACACATAAAAAGAAGGAAAGTTAGCAGAGGAGTTCAGGCATTTGAAACTGTTGACATTCACAGCATCCAAAATAATACAAAAAATAAGCAAACTGAGCTTTTGTAATTCACACCACAGAGTACAAATATTCTGATATCTGAACTAGGGCACGAGATAAGGAATTATGGAGGGGATCATTTACTTACTGTTTCTCAACAAGGTCAAGGAAGTATGAAAAGACAACATCCGTTTTACAAACTCAAGTAACAAATGAGACAACAGGCTTTCCTGCCCCATCTCCGGCCTAAAAGCCTTGCTTTGTTCTTCCTCTAACCACTTATTTGGGAAACAAAATATTTTTGCTTCATCCAATTTATATCTTAAAATAAAACACAGAGATGTCACAAAAATTAGAACCAGGCAGACCTCGGGTATTGTCTAAGGTATGACATCCTCTAGGATGGTCAAACCCTTTAGACTTTTGGAGTGGTCCCGACATTTGTGCTCAGAGCTCTGGACTTGCTTTTCTGATGATCTTTAAATGATGAGCAATATTTTTTCCTATTGCACATAAAATACTTATCTCCTTTTGGGGAGTTTTATGGTCTTTTGGCTCTCTTTGGCCTTGTGATTCTGTTAAATTTTCCTGTTTGTCAAAGAATCCATGTCAAACCCCTCCGGAGTCTTCCCCAATTCTGCTCCTTACAAGACAATTGGAAAAACAAGCAATGGTAACAGCAAATCCTAATGATCCCTGGAACCTGGCAGAAAAGGAAATAGAGCCTTGAAATGCTTTGAAGTCATTAACAAAGTTGTGAAATTTGTCAGGAATGTGAGAGAAAGAGAGTCTTTTTATTATTTGCTAGCTTCACAGTCGCTAATTCTCCATGTCCCTAGTTGAGCTTTAACTTAATTATAAAACAAAATCTATAGCTGCAGCCCAGGCCTAGAGGTAGAGTCTGTACAACTAATCAACTTTAATTCCCTGGGCCCAATTTAATTACAAAACAACATTTGGTGCAGCTGCTAAACACTTACCAGGTGACCACATAATCCTGGAGTCGCATTTACAGGTCTCCAGCTTTTGCTCTTATTCTATCAGCACAATTATGTCTGATACAATACATAATAGAAATGTGAGCAGGCGCCAGGAATCATGCTAAATAAGAATTCTCTTGATTTTGGGTGCCCCTGTAGGAGAGCCAGTTAAAGTATTAAGTTGCACCACAACTAATTAACGTCAAGAGGTAAAACTGAATGACGGAAGAGATGTCTCTCAAGAACAAACTGGATGCCCATGGTCTACTTCTTACCTTTATAAGAAAATGAAACCAGCAATGCATATGTGAGTTATCAATTTGTTTTTTAGGTTATAACATAGATAACTTCCCATATAACTAGATGTATCTAACTCAGACTTCTGCTTGGTTTTTGGTGCTTCACTAGACAAGTTAAGGAGGTGATACGTCAAGAAAATGATTTTACCTGATCAAATTAAAGATACCATTGAGATTTTTAAACAGTTGACACCTTTAGTCTTCATAAAATATACTCAGTTTGCACAAATATTCAGGAATATCACAGCACTCAATGAATCAGATCAAATTTTTCATTTGATAACATTAGGCAGAAGTTCCAAGTACAATTAAAATTTTTTCAAGTTTTTGCTTCACTCAAATACTTCTTTTACAATACCTGAGGCTATTTCCTTTCTAAGTGTTTAGAAGGATGAAAAAAATTAGTTTAATTAAGAAAAAAAATAGTCAAGAAGCAAAGGAGCTGAACATGGTCCTTCCTGTTTTCACACCAATTCAGAAGATAACAGTGCCATCAAAAGCTGATTAGGATTTGAGGCATGAAGAACAGAGAGCTCCTTGTGCTTTCTTTTCCAGCATACTGATCTTTGAAAGTTACTTTGACCTTCTTTTCTACCCCTTTAGAGTAGAAGAGGGGAAAGCTAATGAGAGGATGTATCATAGCTGATTATACTGTAGAACAAAGCACAATACATAAAATTCCTCATAAAAGATCTGGAGCAATAATGAGCTGTTTCATGTTTTGACCTCAAGTGCTGGTTGGAATTTTACCTAATACTGTGCATCTTGCATGGCTACTTAGACTTTGGACAAAGAGGACGCTGGATACTTCAAAGTCGGAAGGCTCATCTCTCAGTGGCGGCAGTGGCTGTCAGTCTCCTGCCAGAGAGAGTATCTTTCTTTACTGCTGAACAGCGACTGAGTTGCAGGAGGCAACGATTCAGCTTGCTGGAGGAAAATAGGATGGGAGGAATTATGACGGTTGCCAGATGTTCCAGCAGCCCTGAGGGGGCACCAGAATGTTTCTGCCTATGCTGTAAACAGCATAAACTGTCAGACCATGGGGCCCTGGGGGTCTAGTGCTCACGCTTCTCTGATGTGCAGGCACAGGACTGAGAGTTAGAAGGAGCCTCGCAGAAGGAGCCTGGTCCAGAGGTTTTACGCTGTGTCTGGGGGAGTCGGAGAGAGTCTAAGTGTGTCTCAAGGCATGCTAAGCGGTAAAGAGCTCTCCCCAAAGCAGCAGAAGCCATGAGACGAACGTAACAATTTTATGTCAGAGCCAACATTTCACAGGTTATTTTATCAAACCTAAACTAGCTGTAAGCATCTAGGGTAATTCCTGTGGTTGTAAATGACCACCCCACCCAGTGGCTCTATGACATTCCTAGAGGGGGAGTCCCCAGAGCATTCAGAAACCATGCTGCCATAGGCTTGAAAGCCTCGAAATTAAATTATATTGCAATATCAGGGAGGAAAACAAAAGACTTCTGGAGTCACATAAACCAGCCCTTAGAATCTTTCTTTCTTTACATTGCAATTTCAATGGAAAACAAAAAAGTCACCGAGAAAAAGTCATTTATCCTTGTTATTTTTAAATTTGGCACTTTAATGCATGCTTGTCCTGAAGATGATTTAATTCTTATGCAGCATCACCTGTTCTGTTTTCAAGTTAAAAAATATAGTGTGACTGTACATGGAACTTCTCTGGTCTCACCATGAGGGAGGGAGGGAGGGAGGGAGGGAGAGAGGGAGAGAGGGAGGGAAGGGGGAATCTATTTCTGTGTTTGTAAATGGATTCACTTATCAGAGATGACACAAGATTTTAATATCAGGTAAAAGCATACTCCCAAGGTTAAACGGACATTCAAAAAATGTGATAGATGCATCTGTCTCACCGTCACTGTTGATGCACACAACTTCTTGAACCTGAGTTCCCGGGCCACACTCTCTTCCGTTGTCTGGTTCACAGTCTCCGAGCCTCACTGCCTTCCAGTCATAGCAGGCTGGCTCCTCACAGGGGATAGCTTCTAGTAGATGAGGACAGTTTCCAGTCCCCCCAGAGCCTCCAGTGGGCTCATTAGTTATGCGTCGCTTCCTCAGTTTGAAGCCTGATCATTGAGGGGAAAAATATTTATTGTTAGATCAGTGGTTGAGTATATAAGAAAGCTGAATGAAGCATGAGAGTGAAAGTTGGATGAGCATAGAAAGTATATATTATGTGTTTCGAATCATTGGTGTGTCTCCAAATCTCAGCTTAATTTGAGCTCAAGTCACATATTAAATGAATAAGTGAATAAATGAATCAACAGAATGGGAAAACGAGTTTGAGTCACAACATATAGTAAACATAAGGCAAAAATTTCCATATAGCTCCCATCTTTCTTATAGGGCCTAGGAAGGAGAGAGAAGAAGAAGGAATGTGGAGAAGCAGAGAAAGATATTTTAGTGTATTTGACATGTCTACATTTATAGGATATTCAAAGAAATGATGAAATCTCATGCTTTTCAGAAATATTCATGATCACGAAAGTGCTATTATTTTTAATTTTTTGACACTGTCACATAATTGAATTTGAAAGATGAACCTCTGAGAAGTCTGATGTTTCCAGAGTAACCACCTCTTTGAACCTCAGTTTATTTCAGCTTCTGGAAATTTGATTTCAAGACATAATACAAATGTGGGCTCCAATGTGGAGCACTCAGAGTCCTGCTCTTGCTTCCATAGCACCTAACAACGCATAACAAAGTTGATAAATCTGTTTACTGCTATGCAAACACACAAGACTCACTGGAAGGCTATCTTTTGAATTAGAATAGGAATTTTCAGTTAGGAGATCATGTGAAAAATTAGCATACCATGCTCACCATGAAGTAAGTCACTGCATTTATTCTATTCTACCTGGACATATTATGGGCTTCAAGAAAACAATAGCAGTTTTTATATTTTTACTTGCAAAGTAACAAGGAATTCTGTTGGTTAGGCAGTAGTTATAGACCAGGCCATGCATTAAGTGCTTTATGTTTACAATCAAAGTCACTTTGGTTCTTCAGAGATAGTGTGGGCAGCAGATGCTATTAATCTCTTTTATACATAGGAAGTCAAGGATTTAGATAAGTTAATCAACTTATCCATACAATAAGGGACAGTTATTTTTAAAATAGGAGTTTATTTATACAACAAAGGGCAGGTTTTCCAGTCCAAGTCAGTCTGACACTACAGCTTGTCTTAACCACTGCATTAAATGGCCCCAGGCATTTTCCATCACGTTGCCCACCATCACCAGGCTCTTGCCATGTCCTTCTGCTTTTTCTTCTAGTGCTATCACCAAAGTAGGTTTACTCATCTTTTAAGTCAGTACTCCTTGGTCATTTTGGAAAACATGACAAATGAATAATCACAAGGAACACACAACAGCATTTTAAAAACAACTCATGATTTGATTCGACTGATGGGACTTGCAAGCATGTCATGCTAACAGTGCATACCTTTTTTGCCTTGTTGGTCATTACAGTTTTCATAAGTACAAGGTCCCCAAGCTGACCAAGGCGAAACCTCACATTCAACTGGACAAGGAATGTGGCACAGCTGTGTAGTATTGGGGACAGGGCCAGTGCATAATTTCAAGTCCACTGGTTTTGAGGCTGTTTGGAGAAAAATACAGAAATATCTTAAGAGTTAAAGAAGAAAAAGTTATGATTAACAATTTCAGGTCTCTGTATCTATGAAAAAGGAAAATAATTTTAAAAAGTGCCACCAACACATCATTCCAATGTTTCTGGGCTATACCTTGAGAAAAAAAGAGGAGGAAGAAAATAAGAAGCAGTACAAGTCAAATGAAATCTTAGCCATTGTTTGATAACCAGCTTTAACACTAATTAGCCACACAATTAATAGTGTTAAATGTAACTTTCCTAGTAAATAAAAATAATCCGTAAAGCCATCTCCACACTTCTCTAGGTAGAGTCTAGAATAGTGCTATCTGCCTTAGAGGACTGCACACAGTGGAAGGGGGACTACAGCTTAATGTGTATGTACAAATATTGTGGGAGCTCCTGGAGGAGCAATTTCCTGTTGCTTTCAGTCCATGATGTTGAGATGTACCTGGTGGATATGCTGAAGAGCTCGTCAAATAGGGAGCTACTTTCTTTACTTCAAGCCTCATGAATCACTCGAAGCTTTTCAGAACTTCTACAGAATGGATTATCTGCACATGGGACCCAGAGCTAAGCATTGCTAAGGAGACACCTTCCCAATTATGTATGTTACTTCAATAGTTGGGCAATGAACCATGGACTAATCTTGCTTGTCCTCCTCTTCTCCAGTTCTGGTGCCTGCATTTTGGATCTTCAATAGACACATGTATTCTCAATTAATGCCATAATATGTTGTAGTTCAAAGGACACAGAACTGGTTATAAAGAACTAAGTGAGGAATATTTTTAAAACTATATGGACAGGAACTATCAATTAAGTGCAGTTGTTATCTATCTCTAATGTTCATAGTTATAAAAAATCAATAGGGAAATGTCTTGGTCACATATTTTCTTTTATGAAAGGTTGATACTATTTCAATCTGAGAATTTGGAGACTCATACTTGTAGAACAAATAGCTTCAATAAGGGAGACATAAATATTTTTCATTCTCCTTATACAAGAGCACTATCAAATTCCAACTTTGTGAGACTACATCTAGAAGCTCATAGATAATTAAAATTAGTTTAATCCATATTATCCTAACTTTATATTTTGAACTCTAAGGCAAACTACAAACACTGTGCAGCTCTTACTTCACAAAAGCACAGATGATCATTAATGCTACCTAAAGTTATTACAATGACTTCTTTTATAGCCAGAGTTTTTGTTCTGAAGAATATTCTCCAAATTCTATTTTTTCTTTTTTCTCCAAGTATGCTTATCTCCATCCTTCCCATCCATGCATGGTATTGAAAAAAAATGAATGGATACCTCCAATTTGCTTAGTATGGAGCACAGCAAGTATCCTTACTCAAGTTCATAAGCATTGCTACTATAGGCATCATAACACCAGTCAATGCCAAAATGTTTTTATTTCTATCCAGCAGTGAAAGTACTTGACAAACTAATGACAGGGAATACAGAAATAAATACTTTATACTTCTTTTTTAACAAAAAAAACCTTACTATCAGTGATGTATATTTAACATAAAAATGAATTCCTTCTAAGGGTCTTAAAGGCAGAAGAGTCTACATTACCTAACAAAACCAATTGAAAATTATGATAAGTATTTTCACTTTCATTACTTTCACTTTTGGAATCTTTCACACTATTACTTAAATTAGAGGGCTGTTTTTTTTTTTTTTTTGAATATTGACCAGAAAAGTGTCCATTTTATTTCTTTCAGTTGATTAAAAGTCACTTCACAATTTCTTGTTACTATATTATTTAGTTCATACAAAGTAAAGTTCACTGGGAATGCAATTGTGAGGAATATTAGAATCTGGAGAAAGGTATATATTAGATTCAAAACTTTAGGAGAGAAAACATGATTTTATTGAGAAACAAAACATTGTACTTCTGCTTGCTATCTAGTTTCTTTGTAAGATTAGCTTACACTTTTATATACTTTATATATTTATGTAAAAGTTTAGCTTGCATTTTTATATATTTTGAAGGAAACAGTCGCAAGACCTTCTTGAACAACTAAAGAGAAATGTAATAATGCTAAAAAAGTGTTGCTGAATCAAAACACTCTTGAGAGCTGCCCAGCCAACCAACATCTTGGCAACTGACCTCTATTTGATACACATCCTTTTATATAAAAGCTTTTTATGAACCAAAGAACACAAGGAGAGAATCTTTGTATAATTCTACTACTTTGGTTATTTTCATGATATGTTTCTTATATTTATTGGTTAACGTAAACCACAGACACTAGCTGAGTTCCTCAATAACTGAAAATCAACAAATCTGTATAGTTACTTAAGAGTTATTTGCAATCAGTGTGATTCAATGAACGAAGTCAAGAACAGACCCACAAGACCTTATTGGGTTCCAGTTTACATTAGTGGGATATAATCTCTGCTTACTGTGGATAAAATATTCTCAAATACTAAATAAATATTGAATTTTCTAGAATGGCTCAATTATTACTCTTATATAACTTTTCTATATTAAGTATCAATTCCAAAGTAAAAATCTATATAACTAATATCTAAAATATAAATATATACACATATAGATAAATGGAAATCCTTTTTGTTGATTTCTTAAAATACTGAAGACATTTTACTTTCATATTTAAAAAAGTATTCAGTTACATGTATATTGCACGCTTCATGAAATCACAATGTTTGAAACAAAGACCAAAAAATAAGACTGGTATATTTTTGTAAATCTGAAATATTTTTGTACTTTTTATGTTTAGAGAATTGTAAACAGAAAAAAGTTACTATGAGAAATTAACTTAAGACTTCTCTTTCCATAGATATGGTCAACAAAGTATCTGTAAATATACCCCTTGTATAACTCTAAAAAGACAGGATATATGTGATTATTTTTAAAGATTTTTATTTATTTATTTGACAGGTAGAGTTACAGACAGTGAGAAGGAGAGACAGAGCGAGAGGTCTTCCATCCATTGGTTCACTCCCCAGATGGCCACAACGGCCAGAGCTGCACCAATCCGAAGCTAGGAGCAAGGAGCTTCCTCCAGGTACCTCCCATGCGGGTACAGGGGCCCAAGCACTTAGGCCATCTTCTGCTTTCCCAGGCCACAGCAGAGAGCTGGATTGGAAGAGGGGTGGCTGGGATTAGAACCAGCATCTATATAGGATGCCGGTGCTGCAGGTGAAGGATTAACCTACTGTGCCACAGAGCCAGCCCCGGGATACATGTAAGTTTTAAAAGCAAACGTTGGAGCCAGTGCTGTGGCGTAGCCGGTAAAGCTATGCAGTACCAGCATACCATATGGGTGCTGTTTCCACTTCTGATCTATCTTTGTTCTATGACCTGGGAAAGCGGCGGAAGATGGTCCAAGTCCCTGGGCCCCTGCACCCACGTGGGAGACCCGGAAGAAGCTCCTGGCTCCTGGCTTCAGATTGGTGCAGCTATGGCTGGTGCTGCCATTTGGGGAGGGAACCAGGGGATGGAAGACCTCTTTCTCTTTCTCTTTCTTTCTGCCTCTCTGTAACTTTGCCTTTCAAATAAATAAATACTTTTTTTTTTTTTTAAGATGGAGAAGCCACCTCCTGCTGCGATCCTGTCTTGATTCCCTTTCCCAAAGATGCCCCTTGTCAGCATGAAGCAGCCAGAGCAATCATCGCCCAGTCCCCCTCACAGATGTTAGGGTTTCCATCCGGGAGGAGGGAATGTGAGGTGTCAGATGGTTTAACAGATAGTCAGGGGATCCCAATGGAATTTGGGGTATAAAGTATTTGCTTCCTTCCCCAAAACTTTATCTTTAGCAAGAACAAACAGGCTGCCCTCCAAATTTACCATGAGAATACTGAGGAAGCTCTTCCAGAGCTCACAGCTCCTTGTGAAAACAAGTTACCTATTGTACCCTTAGCAAGCCAGACAGGATGGAGAACTGTAAATGAGGTCTTTTATGGTTTTTGTCCCCACCTGGTAACTGAATGCCAACCTGATTGTCAAGTTTGTACTTAAAGCTGACTGCCACCAGTCCCCTTTGGGTTTTCCACTCTTGGAAGCCCCCCTCCACACCACTCTGGCTGGAGGTCCTTGATTCTAATAAATACTTTTAAATCTCAAAAAATAGATAATAATTTGAGATAATTACAGATTCATTTTTGACAATCTATATAATATTCTTCACCCAGTTTCCCTCAATGTTAAACCCTTATACAAATATCATATAATATAGCCAGAATATGGGTATTCATATGTTCAAGGTACATGTACTGGGTCAAACAGTGTCCCTACACAAGTCACATCTACCAAAGCCTTAGAATATGATCTTATTTTAAAATAGGGCCTTTGCAAATGCAATTAGTTGATGATGTCCTTTTTTTGTGTTTTGTTTTTGTTTTTCGACAGGCAGAGTGGACAGTGAGAGTGAGAGAGAGAGAGAGAGAGAGAAAGGTCTTCCTTTGCCGTTGGTTCACTCTCCAATGGCCGCCGTGGCCGGCGCACTGCGCTGATCCGAAGCCAGGAGCCAGGTACTTCTCCTGGTCTCCCATGGGGTGCAGGGCCCAAGCACTTGGGCCATCCTCCACTGCACTCCCTGGCCACAGCAGAGAGCTGGCCTGGAAGAGGGGCAACTGGGACAGAATCCGGTACTCTGACTGGGACTAGAACCCGGTGTGCCAGCGCCGCGAGGCAGAGGATTAGCCTGTTGAGCCACGGCGCCGGCCTGATGATGTCCTTTTGATTAGTATGATCCTTAAATCCAATGCCTAGGAAGTTCTTCTAAGAAGGCTGTGCAAAGATGTAGGGAGAGATGGGAGTGATGTGGCTACAAGCCAAGGAACACCAAGGATTGCTGGCAGATGCTTTGCTCCTAATCTCATAGGAAAAGCATCTCTCTCTCTCTCTCTATATATATATATATGTGTGTGTGTGTGTGTGTGATTAAGTATAACATTAGTTGTAGGTTTTCATTAAGTGCCCTTTATTCAGCTGAAGATGTTCTCCTTTAGTCCTGTTTTATTTTCTGACCAGAAAACTTATGATTGTTGAATTTTGACAAAGGAATTTTCTGCATTGATAATATCATGTGATTTTTTTTAGATTGTTAATATGGTGGATTACATTGATTAATTTTCTAATATTGAATCTGTTATATATTAATGTTAGCCGTCGCAAAACACACCGGACACTGGAGCAAGGGAAAGGTTTATTGGGGAACACCCTACAGACCGGAGAGAAGGGGCGGCAAAGGAAAAAAAGGAGTCTGTAAGAGAGAAGCAGAGATGCGAGGAGCTAGCAAGGAGAGAAGAGAGCAGAGAAGAGCCGAGAGAGAGAGCCACGAGACCAGAGGAGGAGGCTAGAGAGAGGAACCGAGAGAGAAGAGTCAAGAGCCAAGAAAGAAGAACCAAGAGCCAAGAGAGCACGTGTTCAGGAACAGGCCCTTTTAAAACTGAGGGCGGACAGGGAAGCAGGAGCAGCGAATCCCTTTAGGATGGGGGTGGAGCCTGGTTCAGGTAGCTGGGCCATGCAGCCACCTGGCTAAAAGTGTGCCAGTTTCCTAACAGAATCAGTCTCATTCACTGAATGAAATTCATCTGGTCTTAGATTTTAATTCTTTCATATATTGCTGCATTCTCTCTGCTAATATTTTGTTAAGGATTCTTGTGTCCATACTTATTGGCCATTTTGGTCTGTAGTTATATTTTTGTTGAATTTTCTTTGTTCCCTGTTCTATTTCCTGGATAGAAATGATCCAGATTTATCCCATTGGGTGAGTTTTGGTAAGATGCATTTTGTTATGTTACCATTTCTGATTCCTTCCATTTAGAAGTAAGTTTAGTTTCCAGGTGCTTGGAGATTTTACCATTATCTTTCTGTGAATAAATTTTAATTTGATTCTATTGTCCTCAAAGAACACATTGTGTATGATTCAATTCTTCTAATTTAGTTGAGGCTTGTTTTGTGGATCACAGTTCATTTCATCTTAGCATATATTCCATGTACACTTGAAAGGAATTGCTATTACAGGATTAAGTAATCTATGAATGTGCATTGGATTATGTTGGTTCATGGTGCTGTTGAGTTTTTCTGTATCTTTGTTGATTTTCTGTTTAATTGTTACATCAGGTGTTAGGGGTAGGGTGTTGTCATTTCTGAGTATAATTATGGGTTTTTTTCCTTCACCATTCAGTTCTATTATTTTTGCTTACAAATATTGTAGTTTTTTGTTTAGTACATATGCATTTAGGATTCCTTCACCTTCCTCATGGATTGACTCTCATCATTACCTGTTTTCTTTCTTGAATAATTTACTTTGATACAATACCCAATTTATCTAATATTAACTTGGCCACTTCTGCTTTATTGTAATATTTTCACAATATTTGTTTTCTATCCTTTTACTTTCAACCTGCATATATTATAATATGTGAAATCAGTTCTTGTAGAATGTATACAGGTGGGCATACTTCTTAATCCATCCTACCAATATGTGTTTTAAAAGGTGTATTTAGGCTGTTTACATTTAATGTAATTACTGATATGGGATGGCTTAAGTCTGCTAATTCTTTTTACTTATTCTCTAGTTTTCATTTCTGTTTTTTCGCCACTTTCCTATGGGTTATTTGAACATATTTGGAACTCCATTTAAACTTACCAATAGTGATTTTAAATGTATCTCTTTGTACATTTATGTGTGTATGTGTGTATATGTAATTATATGTGTATATGTGTGTGTACATACATGTGTGTATATGTATATGTGTGTATGCATATATGTCATATCACTACCATAGTCATTTTACCAGTTCAAGTATAATAATCTTATAAATTTGTTTTTTTCTTTTTTTCTTTTTTGACAGGCAGAGTGGACAGCGAGAGAGAGAGAGAGAGAGAGAAAGGTCTTCCTTTGCCGTTGGTTCACCCTCCAATGGCCGCCGCGGCCGGCACACCGCGCTGATCCGAAGCCAGGAGCCAGGTACTTCTCCTGGTCTCCCATGGGGTGCAGGGCCCAAGCACTTGGGCCATCCTCCACTGCACTCCCTGGCCACAGCAGAGAGCTGGCCTGGAAGAGGGGCAACCGGGACAGAATCCGGTGCCCTGACCGGGACTAGAACCTGGTGTGCCAGCGCCGCAAGGCGGAGGATTAGCCTAGTGAGCAGCGGCGCCGGCCAAGTATAATAATCTTACCTCCCTTTTTATACTGTAGTGGTTTTAAATATAATGAGACTTTAAAAAGTGTATGGGAAAATGGGCTGGTGTTGTGGCTTAGTAGGTGAAGCCACTGCCTGTGATACCAGCATCCCATATGGGCTCTGGTTTAAGTCCTGGCTGCCCCACTTCTGATCCAGCTCCCTGCTAATGTGCCTAGGAAAGCAACAGAAGATGACCCAAGTACTTGGACCCCTGCCCTCACACAGGAAATCCAGAAGAGACTCCTAGTTCCTGGCTTCAGACCTGTCCAGCTCCAACTGGCTGTTGCAGCCATCTGAGGAGTGAACCAGTGGATGGAAGATCTCTTTTTCTCTGTCTCTCCCTCTCTCTCTATAAGTCTGCCTTTCCAATAAATAAAGAAGTCTTCAAAAAAAAGTTTGTAGGAAATGGAATTAAAGGATTTCATGTTGGTATTAAAAACATCTTGAAATTTGCATAGTTTTTCATAATACACATTTTCCCTAAAATTTCTGAACATCCTTCATATGTACGGATTGCAATTTTTTGCACCAAAATAAACTTCTTATTTAATTCTAAGAACTTTTTTTTAAAAGATGTATTTTTCCAAAAATCAGAGTTACACAGAGAGAGGAGAGGCAGAGAGCCAGAGAGAGAAAGGTCTTCCAGCTGATGGTTCACTCCCCAGATGGCCACAATAGCCAGAGCTGCGCCGATCCGAAGCCAGGAGCTTCTTCCGGGTCTCCTATGCGGGTGCAGGGGCCCAAGGACTTGGGCCATCTTCCACTGCTATCCCAAACCATAGCAGAGAGCTGGATCAGAAGAGGAGCAGCCGGGACTAGAACTGGTGCCCATGTGGGATGTCGGCGCTTCAAGCCAGGGCTTTAACCCGCTGAGCCACTACACCAGCCCCTCCAAAAACTTTTTAAAAGTTCCCCTGTGTATATATACTCCCTATGTATTTTAGAATCATATCAGGTAGGAGAGTTAAGATTTTGCTTCAACTGTAAATATACTTTAAAGAACTAAAGAGAAACAAAGTCTATGGCATTTACCCACATTTATACTTATCTGCTCTTTTTCTTCTCGAAATTCCAAACTTTCTTTTGTCACCATTCACTTTAATGAATTCTTTAGTCCTTCTTTTGGGGAAGATCTGCTGGCATAAGAGTAGCTTTCTTTCTCCTTCATTCCTGAAGGATATTTTCTCTGAATATTGAACTGTCAGATGAACTTTCTTTTTTTCTTAGCATTTGAAAAAATTGTGGTCCTTTGTTCCAAATTACATGGTTTCAGGCTCCTGTCATTCAAATTGTTTTTTACTTACAGTCAGGGCATCGTTTTTATCTGGATGCTTTCAAATATATTTTTTTTCATCTTGAGTATTCAGATTTTAATTATAATATGTCTCGGGATGTACTTATTTAGTTTTAACCTCTCTGGGGTTTATGCAGCTTCCTGAATATCTAAGTGTATGTTTCTTGCCAAATATGAGAATTTTACAGCCTTTATTCTTGGAAAAAAGTTTTTTCTTTCTAGCTCTGACTCTTTCTCCCCTTCCTGTGGAACTCTAATGCCCGGCATATCAGATCTGTTGTTGCAGTCCCACAGGTCCCTGAAACATCTTTAATTTTTTGCCAGTATATTTTCCTTGTTTCACTTAGATTAGGTGATTTCTGTTACTCTACATTCTGTTCCTATTGTTTCCCTTGTCCCTGCCATTATACTGTTAAAGCCCCATAGTTTTTATTATTATTTTTTTTTTTTGAGAGGCAGAGTGGACAGTGAGAGAGAGAGACAGAGAGAAAGGTCTTCCTTTTCCGTTGGTTCACCCTTCAGTGGCCGTTGCGGGCAGCGCGCTGATCTGAAGCCAGGAGTCAGGTGCTTCTCCTGGTCTCCCATGCGGATGCAGGGCCCAAGTACTTGGGCCATCCTCCACTGCACTCCTGGGCCACAGCAGAGAGCTGGCTTGGAAGAGGGGCAACCGGGACAAAATCCGCTGCCCTGACCAAGACTAGAACCTGTTGTGCTGGCGCCGCAAGGCGGAGGATTAGCCTAGTGAGCTGTGGTGCCGGCAAAAGCCCATAGTTTTTAATTTGTCATTGTATTTTACAGATCCAATATTTCTTTTTTTAAAAAAACCAATTTATTTATTTGAAAGGCAGAGTTACAATGTTGGGGGAGTGCAAGAGAAACAGAGAAAGAGATCTTCCATCTGCTGGTCCACTCCCCAAATGGCCACAATGGCCAGAGCAGGGTTATTCTGAAGCCAGGAGCATATTCTGGGTCGCTCATGTGGGTGCAGGTTCCCAGAACTTGGGCCATCTTCTGCTGCTCTCCCAGGCACATTAGCAGGGAGCTGGATTAGAAGTGGAGGGGCCAGGTCTTGAGACAGTGCCCATATGGGATGCTGGCACCATAGGTAGCATCTCTTAACCCTCTGTGCCACAGAGTCAGCCCCCAGGCCCAATATTTCTATTTAGTTCTTTATTTCTTCAATTTCCTTAACTGAGTTTTCTATTTTTTGTTTGTTTCAAGCATGCTCATACTTGTTGAAGCATTTTTATCATGGCTCCTTTAAAATCTTCATTAGACAATTCAAATTTCTCTATTATCTCAATGTTTGCCGGCATTTATTGATTGTCCTTTTTTATTCAATTTGAAGTCTTCCTGGTTTTTGACATGATGACTAATTTCACTTGAAACTGGGGCATTTTTATAATTATTTAATAAGACTCTAGATATTTTTAAAAATCCTATTTTTCTCCTAGGGAAAGGTGAACAGAGAAGTCCAGGTTTCCTACGTAACCATCAGCTCACAGAGATGGGAAATTCACTTTCTACTCGGCTTTCTCGGACACCACCGGCTGGAGCTATAGCATCGCAAGAGTGGAACGTGAAGGGCCCACGAGGCCTCTGTTGGTATCAGTGACGGTATGGCCATGTTCTTTTTCCGAGTCTTCAGGTGGAACAGACGGCTTATTGTCAGCTTCATCCTTTCTTTGTCCTTTACGAGACAGAGCAGGCAGTTGTTGGAGATTTTAAAACTGATGCACACTGGTGCTTCTGAGTAGTTGGTTTATCTCCAAATAGGCAAAAAATCCAAAAACAAAATACAAAAAATTCACCACATTGCCATCTCTTGTGTTTGAAGGTTTGTAGCTTGTCTGCCTTCTTCTTTCCAACTTCTGGAATCTTCCCACTGTTAGCTGCTTCACTTACAATTCAGCTCCTTGTTAATGTGCTTGGGAAAGCAGAGGAAGATGCCCCAAGTACTTGGGCCCCTGTGATGCATATGTGAGACCTGGATGAAGTTCCAGGCTCCTTGCACTCCCAGCTTCAGCCATTGTGACTATTTTGGGGGTGAGGCAGCAGATGGAAGATAGATCTGTCTCTGTTACTCTGCTTTGCAAATAAATAAATCTTTTTT